GACTGGGGGAGTCGAAGTACCTTGATAAGGAGGTCGAGCTCCAGGCGGAGGCACATGACCTCTAAGGTCACAGCAGCCACTTTCTGGGTGTCGGGTTCGAGCACGTCATCTGGGAAGCTGAGGCCGTCCGCCTGCTGGTTGGCGTAGCCGTAGAGATACAGCACCGCCCGCCCCCCCTGGGAGAGAAGACAGGAACGCGCGACAGGTCTCAGACGGGAACGCAGGACAACACAGACGGGAACGCGCGACGGGTCTCAGACGGGAACGCGCGACGGGTCTCAGACGGGAACGCGCGACGGGTCTCAGACGGGAACGCGCGACGGGTCTCAGACGGGAACGCGCCACGGGTCTCAGACGGGAACGCGCCACGGGTCTCAGACGGGAACGCGCGACGGGTCTCAGACGGGAACGCGCGACAGGTCTCACACGGGAAGGGGGATCCGCGCCTCGATCCCGCGGCCGCCCCGGGGCTCCCGCGAGAAGCCGGAAGCAAGGCGGGGGCGAGCTGCGCCACGCCCCCGCCTCTCCGAGCGCACGTGCATGGCTCTTCCAGAGAGAGGGAAAGAGAGTGGGAGAGACGGGGGGGGGAAGAGGGGTACAGAGAGAGGGAGGGGTGACGAAAGAGCTCGCGAACTGCGGGCGCCCACCTGGATGGAGTCCACGGTGGCTCTGAACACAGGGTTGTTGTGCTTGACAGTCCTCCAGTAGCGCGGCCGGCTGGGGCTGACCAGGTTACAGCCGTACTTCTCCAGGATGTTGAGAGCCGTGGAGAGCTTCTGGAGAGAGGACAGCCGCTGCGGGAGAGGAGAGGGGGTCAACACAGACACCCAGGGGCCACTCCCGGAGGGCGGGGGGGGGCCGGCCCGTGCTCTCACCTCCGTGTGGTTGGCCCCGGCACAGTTCTCTCGAACCATCGCCTCTGCGCTGATCTGGCTGTACTTCACGGCCAGGGGGAGGGGCAGGGAGGCCATCTCTTCCACCGCCGGGCGGACTTCCTGAGTGGAGCCCGTGGCCAGGAAGGCCACGGCCCCATCCCTCAGCTCCTCCAGCCGGGCCACTGCTGATGACGTCATCACTCTGGGACACCCGGGAGAGTGACATTTTCAATGTCAATTCGATTCAGTTCAAGGTGCTGTATTAGCGTGACCGATGGGTGCAATCCATGTCGCCAAAGCAAATACAAATAATGAAATTCACACGAAACAAAACAATAAATAGAAGTAAAATCAAATCTACAGACATATTACAGACATTTACAACAAAGACATATTATAAAATATTGACATATACTGTAGGCGGCTGGAGCATTATTGGGAGACGGACTCACTGTTCCTCAGGCTGTGACAGGAGATCACATACTGGGCTGCCAGATCAACTGAGTTCCCTCCTCCCTCTCCCTGATGGAAATTCTCCATCAGTCTCTAGACACGGGACTGTGACATC